GTGGTAAAAATGTCATGACAATCTGTCCACAAGTTTTTGAGTAACGTTGTCCACAGACAGACAGACAGACAGACAGACAGATGTGACCGAAAACATTACCTCGCCCTTGGTGGAGGTAATAAACTGATGTTAAGTGAGTTCAGTTTAAAGACACATTTCACAAAGTATGTTAAGTTTTTTATCAGCACCTGTGGTGTCATTGAGCCTTCTAATTAGTCCAAATAAATGCACTGAGTCGTGCTTTAATCAGCTCTGCAGTCCTGATTAAAATGTATGGAGCTTTAAATGTGCAACAGCACACAGTCAGAAGGTGCACTCCCCCCTCTGATGGTCTCTGGCCCTGCAGTTATACTCCTTGTCCACTCAGTACTGTATAAAACAGTCTCCTCTGATTGCCGAACATAGTTTACCTTTAGTACTGCAGTAAAAAGTAAAGCATCATTATGGAGCTCCAGAGAAGGTTTTTTTTATAAAGGCTGAAAGTGAACAAACAGCTCATTTTATATACAAACATAAATTTGTCTGTACTCATTTGTTAAAGGGAACAAAACCAACAAAGGTCACTGAATTAGCTTGAAGCTGCCAAAAGTAATAAAACATCATTAATTAAAATCAAAAAAGAAAACCAATCYTTGCTTTTGAAATTGGTTCAAATGAAGTATTAAAACATAAACTAATAAGCAAYCTGCTCCAGCTTGTCTCAGGTCAGGTTCTGTCTCCAGATGTTTCAGCTCCGTCCACAGATGTTTAATAAGATTAGCTCAGGGCTCAGGACACTTCAGGAAACACCAGAATGTTGTGTTGTTTTTATTAATATCTGGGTGTTGTTGTGTGTTTTGGGTTCTTATCCTGTTGAAGGATGGAGACCAAACTTTCTGACACTGACCAGTAGATTTAGCTTGKCTTGATAGTCTTGAGATTTCGTTGTGCTCTGCAGTGATTCCAGGTGCAGTGAAATAACTTACGAACATTTCTGAGCCTCCTTCGTGTTGCACAGTGGCTTCAATAACATCTTATTTGAACATGTTCCTGTGATCAAATTATTTTCTGTCCTTTTTTAGAGGGACCATCTTTTTGTAAAAACCAGTTGTTGCTGTTTTGTTTGTTTGTTTTTGGATTTTTGCTTCTTATGTTTGTCAGTTTCAAGTTATTTCAGTGACCTTTGTGTTTTTTTTTCCTTCATCAGTTTATCAGTTTATTTAGGATCCATGTTTAGCTGCAGCAATGCTGCCGCTACTCTCACAGTGGTCCACATGTCACACAATTTACAAAACAATAAAACAACAAAAGTACAAGAAMGTTAAACATACTTAACTGCAGTGTCACATGTTTACTTCATGACATTTAGCCTACATTGTTTGCTGTTTACTAGAATGTTTCAACTGTTCCTTGAATCTTTTCATACTGTTGTGAAATATAACATCAGCAGGCATTAAATTCCAGAGTTTAGCACAGAACAACATCATTCTTTTCTCTATGTTGGTTCTAACTTTTGATGTATGTGTATAGAGAGTATGTGTTGTGAAATATGTGAGTCTCACTCCCCCTGCTGGTGATCTGAGGCCCTACAATCGTAATGAGGACAACACACCACCAC